AGGGGACCTTTCCAAAGCTGTTTGGTGAGGATGCAGAGCACATTCGAGAGGAGGCATCGCTCTTGACAGCCCAACTTCTTTGCATCCGAAGAAGGGCATGAACCCAGGGGTTTCCTGGGAGCGCAGAACGTTTGAGTGCCGGCGCTCTTTTTGCAGCGTATTGCTGGAAAGAGCTGGCAGAGAGACGGACACTTGGCTATGGCTTCATTTCGGGTTGCCCGCAGACTTTGGTGGGGCTGCAGCAGGAGTAAGTGCACACCGCGCGGGGAAGGCTGCTTGGCTTTGGCTGCGAGCGTCAGAAGAAACTTTCTCCCAACGCTAATTGCGGGGAAAGGGGGTCGGCACCGCGGTCCAGCATGTGTTAGTTGCGGTTCTTAATGTGTGTGTGTAAAGCTGAGCAGGCTGTAATTCAGCCGTGTGGGGAACGCTACCTTTGCAGTTCACGCAGGAAAATCTAGGCGGTCACTAAGGTAACACAGTAGCCAACGATGCTTGACGAGTGCCAGCCTGGGAACTGGAATTAAGAATAGTCCTTCTATGTGTGAGGCTGTGCGGTATTTAGCTCCAGGTTGTGGGTGGGTGGCACCATCTTCTACTCCTTTCGGCTCCCGTAAGGGTCTTAGACCTGAGCAATCATAAGTCGATGCTGCTTTAAAAAGTTGTACTGAAATCTGATGTACTGCTGAGTATTAGTAGCTTCGATAGCCAATTGGCGGGCCTGACTCGTAGCTTTCCAATGGAGTTATTTGAAAAACTGAGGAGGGACGTGTGTGAGTGTGCGAGAGGGACAGTTGAGTTTAGACTTGCCAAACTAAGATGCAAACTAACATGATAGAGGCTTTTGCATCTTGAAGTCAGTGAAGGTAACAGTGAAAGTTTGGAGTTTGGAACTACTGATCTTTTAGAAACAAGTTTTGATTAGAGAAAGAAAATTGATGATAGTATTTTTAGTGAACATGGTATGGAGTTCCTGAGGGTAATTCTGGCCACAGTCATGATGGTGCACTTGTTTATTTACTGCATGAAATTCCAAAGGAGTAGCCAGGTTAGTCTGTTGCAGGAAGAACAAGTGTGTTGCCGTGTTTGGTGATCACCTTACATTTTCTTCTAAAGTTTTATGCATTGGCTTGGGTCCTGACTAGCATTTCTACAGGCACAAAGTTTTTTGCCTACATAGCATGGTTTTCCTGTCTCCGTCTCCCATGGTGGCTTGCCCAAGGTCATCCAGCAGCTGCAAGTTGAGGCGTGGGGAATCAAACCCGGTTCTCCCAGATTAGAGTCCACTACACCAAAATGGCTGATCCTCATGATGATGATCCTCATGTACAAAATTTGGGTGGGGGCTGCAGGGGGTGGGGGGAGTCCAGCTCCAGGAGTTCCTCTCTGCTCTCAGATCTTACAGTGTTTGAGCCGCTGAGAGTATTTCAAAATTCTGTGTGTAAAGGGCTTGGTCAGTGGAACATAAGAAACATCTGATTGTACACAATCTGAAGCAGAGTTAAACCCTTTAAATTACAACCTCTATGTAGGACTGTAAACTAATTCCACTGAACTCAAGGGCAGTTGCTCCCAAGTAAGTGTTTTCAGAAGTGGAACATTGGTAAATATATTTATTACAAACATTAATATAAGATTTATTTGTAATGTATCTAAAGCAGCTGTATATTTGATGTCATTATCTTTATTTTCAGGGTTTGTTTCAACTGATTTGGTTCCTAAACTATCAACAGCTGAGATTGCACAGATGCGCAACAAGCTCTTTGCGAAGGAAAAAGAGAGACAATTGTCTCTCTATCCACGAATTGAGAAGATCGAAGTAAAGTATGTTGGCAAATCTCACCCAGGCACTATATTTGTAATGAACAAAGGACTCTCCACACCATATACTTGTGCCATGCGTAAGTAAATGCAACAGAGTACTGGGGTTATATCACTCTTAATCTGAATGACAAATCAAGCTAACACTAATGTTATGTTGCAGAGCATAGTTGTACTGTGCTCTAATTTCATTGCCATCTCCGTGACTACATATGCCTGTGTTTTAGGGTGGATAATAAAAATTCCATGTCTACCAACTATATAGGAAAAGAAGGGACAGTATACTCTACCCACCAAACCTAGAGATATGAGATCTTGTGGGAAAACTGAAAAAAAATCAAGAGAAAATGGCTTTTTCCCTCCAGGAGAAAAATTGGAAATTTGGAGGGAGAAATTATTATGTAAAAACATTTTAAAAGTAAAAATGCTCTTTCAGAATGATTAGTTTAAATGCTTGAAAGGGAGTTTTAAAATAAGTTTGAGTCCAGTGGCTAGCACACTTCCTCAGATACCATCTGGTACAAAACTAGATCTAAGACAGAGACAGTGGTAGCTGTAGCACTGCTGTTGCATTATTATTAAGCAAGCAACGTTTTTAGGAGCTGGTGATATGCCAACTGTTTTCAAAGCAAAATGCAGAGGTTTTTTTCAGATATTTGGTCCAAATTATGTCCAACATGTTGCTCCTGCAAGGCTTAACCGCTTTTATTTCTCGCTAGTCTCAGATTCCTCCATCTTCTGAATAATGTGAAATCAACTGAGCAGTGTTTGAAAAGGATGTGTTCTGATCTGGTTGCCTCACCTCAAAAAGAATAGCCTAGAGTGGGGAAAAGACAGGAAAAGGCCACTACAATGATCAAGTGGATACAACATCTCAAGTATTTGAGGCTTTCAGTTCAAGGGGGGGGGATGTGATTAAACAGGGACATAAGTGATTTCTAGAGTGGCACATGATGTACAGTACCATCTTTATGGGGCATCCCATGCACAGTATGCATAACTAAACTAACAAGATAAAGACTTCTGCTTTCTGTATTACAATATTAAGCGTTTCTGTTTTCACCTCTTATTTATTTCTTCTTTCCCCAACATGCAAAAACTAAGACAGGTATATCAAGTTGCAGCTGTTTGTTGCTTCATTGTTAACTCTGAATATATTGGCACCTACATATATTGGCATTTATAAATATACCAAATAGTAAAGTTGTATGTGCATGCTATGCATTGTACATTACATGTTCTTAAAATAAGATTGTAAGCTTAAATTTGATGAAGAAATATTTTATATTTCACTCTTCTCCCCTTTGGGGGGGGGGGGGGGTCATTGTAGACTTCAGATCCCTCTTCACGAATCCTACAAACAGCCAAAACAAGTGATTTCCATGGTCTTCCTGTAACCCTCCAACGCCTTCTGCCCATTCTAATGGCACTGGCTTCTGGTACTATCTGATGGTAGAGGCTGAGCAGTAATGTTTGTGAACATTATATAGCTGATAATTTTAAACTGTCAGCACCAACTCTTTTGTTAAATATATGGGCATTGTGTTCATGACTACATTTTCCAATTTTTGGGTTCTTCCTCCTTCTCTAGATTTAAGTGAGTGGCACTGTAAGAAATCTGTACTCGCCCTTGTAGATGGAAAAATCTGGGAAATGTACCGGCCTTTCACTCAGTCATGCGAAATACAGTTTCTTACTTTCAAAGATGAAGATCCAGAGGAAGTGAACAAAGTAGGTTTCTGCCATTTTTTCCCAGATTGTTTTTTTAATCTCCTTTATGTTTGATTTCATTCCGATGAAATGTAGAGGATTGAAGGATCCAGGTGTAGCTGAACAATTTAATCACATTATTCTGTAGTACAGTAAACAGGGAACATGGCTGTGTTAATCTCTTGCAGGAAAAATAAACAGGCATCCTTATGTCACCTTATGGACTGGCAGATTCATTGCTTCCGCGCTTGACCCCTTCCAGTCCGGCTTCTGCCCGGGACACGGGACGGAGCCGGCTTTGGTCGCTCTGACTGACGACCTCCGGAGACAGCTGGATCGGGGCGGGTCGGCGGTACTGTTGTTGTTAGATCTGTCGGCCGTGTTTGACACGGTCGACCACCAATTACTAGTCCACCGCCTCGCCGACATGGGGATTCAGGGGCTTTCCCTACAATGGCTTGCTTCCTTTCTCCAAGGTCGGTGACAAAGGGTGGCATTAGGGGAACAGCAGTCCAGGAGACACCCGCTTGAGTGCGGTGTGCCCCAAGGGGCCATGCTGTCCCCGATGTTATTTAACATCTATATGTGCCCCCTTGCCCAGATTGCCTGGAGGTATGGGCTGGGGTGTCATCAGTATGCTGATCACACCCAGCTCTATCTGATGTTGGGCAGCCAGTCAGACTCCAGACTGGAAGACCTGGACTGGGCTTTGCAGGCTGTGGCTGGTTGGCTTAGACTGAGTTGGCTGAAGCTGAATCCAGCGAAGACAGAGGTCCTGTGCCTGAGTCGGGGCGGTTCGGGGGTGGGGATCCCACTTCTGACCTTCGGGGGGGGCTCCGTTGGTGCCAGCACCGGAGGTTCGGAGTCTGGGTGTGCTGGATCCCTCCCTTATCATGGAGGCCCAGATAGCGGCCACTGCTAAGTCGGCCTTTTACCACCTTAGGCTGATTAGTCAGTTGGTTCCCTTCCTTGACCGCACTGACCTGGCCACAGTGATCCATGCGATGGTTACCTCGAGACTAGACTACTGTAACACTCTCTACATGGGGCTGCCCTTGTTGCGGATCCGGAAGCTGCAGCTGGTGCAGAATGCCGCAGCCAGGCTGTTGATGGGTCTCCCTAGATGGGA